ATTCCTCTTGAAATTTCTCAGAAAAGTTAAGTGGCTTATTAATCATGGCTTGTGAGTGGCAGAGAGGATTATATTGAAGTTCCTGTCATTTTTAAATCCTCTACACTAGTGTTTTTCAACTTATCAGCTGCAAACCACTGGAGGGTTGCAGCAAAAATTTTAAAGAATCCTCAAATCCTTGTGTACATATATATTTTTCTTGATCCACAAATCAAAAGATACTATGATTATCACTATTATCATGTAGGCGGTCTAGAAAACTGGTTGACACTTAAAAAGAGTACTCTTCTTACTAAAAATTTGAATAAATAAAAGGAAACCATGGCTCTATACTTGTGGTTTTCATATTTTGGGGTTTCACAGATCAATATCAGTATCATTCATTATATGTTTTGGAGCTTAAAATTATAGTCTTTCAAACTACATGAATTAAGTTTTATGGAAAACTCACTTCATGGTTCCTCCCTTCAAAATCAGTGAACATGGTATCATGGGCCAGGACTGGTGTGAAAAAAGGCATTTGGGAACCTTGCTTCTTATCTTCCAATGCAAAAGAAAGGAAGAAGAGTGCAATGGACTCCATAAGTTGTTAGGATGGGTTTTATGAAAGGAAACATACATATGAGGATCATTTATCCTTCTCTGGGCTGACTCTTACCTGGCATCACTTGTTGGTGATTACAGTCATCAGCCAACAATTAATTTCAGCTCTGAGAATTGCCATCTCAAAGATTAGTGACAGAAATGGTAGCTCACAAGTAATCCATATTCTTTCCAATTTAGAAATGATTCATCATTATGGGTTATGGAAGACAGAAGAAAAGAGCTTGCATATATTTTGCCCATTCTTCTTAATCTCTTGTCCGCATGGGTTAGCCAGCCAAGGAGTATAATTACCTTAGTTAAAAAAATCAACCTGGCTAAGAAAAAAAATGTGGCAAATACTGACAGATTAGCTGATTCATTCATTCAATAAACATTTGCACAATGCCTATTATGTGCCAGACACTGTGCAAAGGATTCAATGACTAAAAACAAAGAACATCAGCAAAAACAATCCCTGCTATGAAAACACACAGGAAATGTGCCTAATCTAGAATAACAATGAAGAGATACATGGCTTCCCAAAAGAGATAACATCTGAACTAAGTCTAGAAAACTTATAGGGATGAGGCAAAACACTTGTTAGCAGAGTGAACAGCATGTGAAAACATGAAGCTTCTTGACCATCTCTTTTGTCATCTCAAAAATGGCTGATCTTTGTATACATCCACCATCTTGAGATGAAACCAGAACCTGACCTGTCAGGAGGGGTCTTTATTACCTGTCAGGAGGAATGGTTGTCCTGACGTGTTGCCTCGTAAGGACTTTTCTTCTCCGTTAAATGAGTAACATAAACAAGGATAGGACAACAGGGATGGCCCTGCTGCCAAATATTCTCATACATGTGGCCAGGCAAAGGGCCAATGCTAATCACAGCCTCCAGCACCTGCATACCCTCAGCTGGAGGGCTCAGTTCTCAAAGAGAAATTCACATAAGGCCTGTCAGCACCTCACTGTCTGCCTCAGGACGAGGCTATCTAGGAACTTGCCTGAATGTTTCCCACATGCTACAAATCCTGCTTCTCAACATTTACATAGTTTTCTGATATTGTAGTCCCAAGCTGAAACACAAAAGAATCCTTCACAACCTGTACTAGGAGGTAGACTGAAATTCAAACACCTCCCAAAACCATTCCCTGCATGCAGAATTTTAATTTCTCAAGCCATTATAAAGTTTGTTACTCGGAAACATTGACTTTAATTTTATTGCTTTATGGACCTTATGCAGCCCCTTTCTGTTTCTGTAGTCTGGAAGAGTGGCCCCAAAGACATACAATTAAATGGCCCCAAAAGACACACAATTCACAGAACCACATAAAATGTACCACAGAGTGTCAAACCCGAAGTCTGAAACAACTTTCTCTGTAGTGATTTCTACTCTATGTCCCAAATGCCAAGAGATCACTCTCATCTTGTCTTTGTCTTTCCCTTTACCTTGACTCGCCATTCAGTTCCTTCTCATCCACAACCTTAGTTCTTTCTCCCTGTGGTGATGTTGGTACCAGCCCTTCTTGGCAAATACCTTTTCACATCACTGACACCTTGAATTTTATCAGGGCTGGCTGCGTAATTCGCAGGGCCCAGGGCAAGATACATGTGGGCCCCTTGTTCAAAACTTGATAAAAATTTAAAGACAGCAACAGTAAGAGCATTAAACCATGCACAGAACTCTTCTAAGTGTGTGGCCTATGTGACTGCAGAGGCTGAACACCCATGAAGCCAGCTCTGATTCTCAGTGGCCAAAATTGGGTCATGTACTCATTCCTTAACCAATCACTGTGAAGTGGGTTGACTAGTTTAGCATTAGACTAAGAACAGCTCCCCTATAGCTGGGCATAAGTTCATCTTCCCCTGAGTTGCATGGTATCCGGTGACAAGGATTCATGAGTAAAACCAGGCTTCTTTTGAGTATAAGTGAGGAAGGCATTGTTGCTGAGTAGCCAACAACATCTACTACATTATATGTCTATGACTAAGAAAAAGGAGGTCTTCTTCAGAAGCTCCCTTTGATGCAAGCTCTGGTTCCCTAGGGCCTTGAAGATCAAATCCTACACTTAAATCTGCCTACTTTTGATTCCCAGGCTCCCATGCACTTCAAACCTCTCCCCTGCTGCCAACCCTTTCTATAGGTACCTGCAGGGGTGAAAAGATGTGATTCCTGTCCTCCTGATGATTATCCTCTAACTAAGGAACCAAGACTAACAGACTATAAAATACACAAAAAACTCAAATAATAGAAAAAATTTAAAGAAAAACGCTACTAATTAAAATCCACATGTTATTGCTGAGAGTTTATGGAAGTATTGGATTTATAAGTGCTGGGTGCAATCCTCACTAGGAGTTCAGAAGGAAATGGAATTTTAAATGGGGTAAGTGGTTAGTGTTGGGTACTATGAAATGAATTTTGGAACAGAAGACTAATATCCATAATCCATAGGGGCAGATTTCTCATACAGCAGGTTGTGATAGAATGGTCTTTTTTAGAGTCAAACAGGTTTGTTTGGCTAGTGCAGACTGCAAAAATCACTTGAAAATGTAATTTTTGGTAAAAGGAAAAAAAGTCATGCAGTAGAAAGCCATTACTAGGAAATTAGATCTAATACAAAAGGCAACAGTACAGTTTCTGAAGATACAAACTATGAATTTTTCATACCTGTGTAAAAATTGAGACCTCTGGTTTTGTTGTTCTCTTCCAAACACTCACTCTTCATCTGGCCAAAACCCTGTTCAGTTCTTAAGACCAGGCTCAGGCTCTATCACTGCCATGAAGCCTTCCTTGAACCTTCCTTGAGCCTTCCTCACTCTAGCATTTCTCAACCCAGCTGAAAGGGACTTAAGAAAGAGAATGCTCCTTTTCCATGAGCTCAGTGCTCCTCATGGCCCTGTACTGGAAGATTTATTTAAGTGTCTCTCACTCAAGGGATTGTAACTCTTTAATGCCAAGAACTTTACCTTATTCTTCTTCATAACTTCTGTGCCTTGATAACTGATAAAGTCATCTTCCATCAACATAAGTATTCAAGAATGCTTACTGAAAGTGATATGATCAGAATATACATAAAAATAATAACTTTTACTAATCTGTGTATAATGGCAAAAGAATGCTCAGAATAAAAAAGAATAATATTTATAAAAACTAGATATTTTTATACTATTGATGACCTGCAGGAGGTATTAGATTGGATGTAGATGAATATGAGAAGGCTGTCAAAGACCACTTCAGATTCCTTTCCTTGAGATTTGGAATAACATATAATAGAGCCTCTTAATTTACTCTCAGTGGAAATGAGACAGTTATTGTAATGACAGGATTTTGCACCCAAGCTTATGAATTCTTCTCCAGCCTCCCCTTCTTCATCTGTCAGTTCCTTTATCTTAGTCTTTTTTCAGAGGTTTTGGTCTCCAGTATTTGAATGTTTACATTTCCATTCTCTGAAAATCTTTAAATATGGACTTTATTCCAGTTATGATATATAGTTAATAAATATTTATGGGGCACTTATGACCAGGCATGAATGAAATTAAGTAAAGTGGAGATTGTTTTGAGCTCCTGTATGGCATAATTTGTAAACAGTCACAGCACCAATGAATGAATCATACAGAACTCCAAATACACCCATATCTACAAACTGCTACTGAGCAAGCAAAGGCAAGGACTCAGAAAGCTAGCAGGAGGCTTCTTCAGTGGTGTTTAAAACATGCTTCTATAGGATGATAGCAAAGCTAAGGGTTTTCCTGATCCTTCTTCACACATAATTTTGCCATTTGGTTTTCCCCTTCATGCTAATGTTCACGTTAATTCCTGCTTGAATTGTGTGTGTGTGTGTGTGTGTGTGTGTGTGTGTGTGAGAAAGTGTTACCATCTAAAAAAGAGTAACTCTTCACAAAGTAGTAACAATATGAAGGGACTGGGTAGTAAAGTTTCTGACTTCCTTGCTTTCTTTAGTTGTATTTTCTAATAGTGAGGCTTTCTCATTAACTTTTTTCCTCTCTTGACAAACTTAAAACCAGTAAATGATTGCTGAATTCCAACATCATTAGGACACAACTTACCCTTAGTTAAGATTAGACAATATAATAAAAATTTCTAGATTAATTTCATTGTTTTGGACAGACACTTAGTGATAGCAATGAAAAAAAATCCAAGTACTTGGAAAATATGAGAAAAACAAGATTCTAAATCTAATGCCTCTGAGTTACCAGTATAAGGTTAGATCGCCACAGTAAGAGCAAGGCAGTAACACATTTAGGTTTGAATATATAATATGTGCAAATTATAATTCTAAATATGTTTCTCATATTTGGAAACTCAAATATGTTTTTCATGTGCTTTCATTTTCAATATGTTTAATTAGTTGTACCTGATTAGAAATTAAAAAAAAACTTTAAAGACATACTTTGAATTTCAATGATCTTCTGTAAAGAAATAACAGCATTCATATTCGGGGTTTGGTGGAGAATATCTTCGGCAAGTGGCTCCAGCTGCAAGAACAGTAGATAATAATGAGCAGAATATTATGACTTTATAGTAAGTCTGACAGAAGCAAAGCAAACTGAAACAACCCCCCTCCCCACAAAAAAAAGCTTGCTCAAAGAACTAGTTAATATTTTCATTTTGCTAATAGTAGTTCTAGAAGTGTAGCCAATTTTATTTTCTGTTTTGCAGCCATATAACTGAATTCCAAGGGACTTTTCTATTGGTCACAAAACTAATCTATGAAGTCCCTGAAGCAGGTGCATCTCTGTGTATTATTCATTAAAAATCTGAGTTATTTGTGTAATTTTTGTAGGTTCTTCACAAACCAAATTCCATCATGTCTGTATATGCAGCTGCGCCCTGCAAACAAAACCTCAGGGAAGTTGTAGTAGACAGAAAGTGGGCAGTCTATTATCCATACTTTTGCAGTGTTTTTACATCCAACCACTTCACACTTCTGGACACTTCACAATAGAAAGCCATGAGACACAGCTGCTCTTATCCAACTGCTATTAAATAAATGGTAGAGAAAATGTTCAAATAAAACCAAAGCTAAATAACTGTATTTTTAAGGGGAAATAACTGCATTTTCATTTAACTTCTACTGTTCTTATAACTAAGCAGATGTCCATGTGGAAACATGGGACAAATTCCTGTCTTGCAAATATATCATGATCTTCTGGAATTACACTGATTTTTCATGGACAAGCTTAGCAAACATTGCTTTGCAAGAAATGAAGAGGAACTTTAAATAATTTATGGAGTGTTTTGGCAGAACTAAATCTGATGCTACATCCTAAGAATACCTTGATGATGTAGCTTGGTGTATAGCACCAGAAACTGCATAGCCAGAACACTTGCAAACAAAATAGCTGTCTAGCTACTGTGACCTAGAAATTAAAGAAAGTAATAGTAACAAAGGTATTAACAAAAAAGGAGTTTTATTAGAAAATTTAAAGTTAATAGTCTCAAAATGATGGTCAAACTATAATATGCCATGAAAAGGAACCAATGTCACTAGACATTATACTGAAATACAAACTCATCTATGTCTCTTCATCTGAAGAAAAAAACCTAAAAACTCAGGAATTCCAAGTTTCCACAACATATGTGAGTGAATCTTCCCCCCAGGGTCTCTCTGAATTGATTATTCTATACTTCAATCATGGAATCTAAAACAATAGCACCTTTCTTCCAGATGCCATAGAATAACCGACTAGCTTAGGGTTATTTATACCTGGGTAAATTCACGAAATAGAACTTTCAAGAGTGTTTTTCTTAGCTGCCAAAGAAAAACCTTTAAAACATCAAAAGGTTATTTGGAATTCAGTTTAGTGAGAGAGAAAAAACGTGCCAGTGCTGTAATCTCAAATCTTAAAATTTTTAAAAATAAGTTTTTAAAAATCTGGTATTTCAGACAGTATCTTCAAGAATATGTTATCCTAGTAATATGCTCTTAACTCAGAGAAACTAATGAATCATAGGCAGAAGGTTACTTGAAAAACTTACTCCAGAATTAGATAGGGCTGAGCTACCTTGCTTATAAATACTCTTTCCTTTCACTCTGTCTCAGAGATTAGAGAAAAATTTTATTAGAAATCAGGTAGATTTTACTAATAAAACATTTCGAAACATCAATGTTCAAATATCTAAGAACAAAAGAACGAGGTGATTTCAGCATATAGCTCTTCAAAAAGCTTTCCTGAGACATTAGAGTAAAAATGCTGACAAATTGAAAGGTGCTGCCTCCTGGAAAGGTTCTGAAACTCTCTTGCACTGAGGTTTGTGGGCTATTTTTAAACCTGGGTTATGCAGAATGTAAATGTGATTTAGGGTGTTGAGATTAAAAATACAAACAACCCTAAACCTCCAATTTGGAATCGTCAGTTGGATATGATAAAGTTGTGTCTACTTATAAAAGCAACCTAGAAAATTAAAGCAATTACAGTGATAATTTAAACCTCCCAAACCATTTCCCTGCATGTTTTAGGTGAATGTCATTTAGAGGATTTAAACTTCAATAAATTGCCCCAATTTGCTTCATTTTAAGGGTATACACACAGACAGAGATGAATTCAGAAAGTTATCAATGTAGGTTCTTTATTTTTGATTTGGTAGCTCTGCAGAGAAGGTAACAGGTACTACTCTGAATTGGCAAGTAGGCAAATGCCATTTAGAGTCTGTTTTCATAAAATTAAAACCTTGTATAGAGGGACCACAGAATTGTCTTTTCTAGAGTGTTGATTTAATCATTCACAATTAAAAGCACTAAAAACATCTGATTAAAGCAGCTATTTAACAAATATTTATAAGTATTGGTCATTATTAGTAATCTAATAACTAACTGTAATGAAATAATATTAAATGAATAGTCATTTTTCTTAAATTTGGGACAAAAACTAAGAATATGCAGTAAAGCTGTTAGGTATTTAGTTTGGCTAAGAAGATGTAGCAAAATCATTGGCTATTGAGTCTAATCAATGTTAGTTAAGAGTTATTGAAAGATAAATAAGGATATATTTTATGTAAATCCGAGTACTTTTGTATTTAAAACTTATAGGAAGATAAAGCAGATGCAGATGTAGGAAATATCACACACCCATCATGCTATCTTTGTTGAGCATTTCCATCAAGTAATAATAATTATCATGAAGTAATAAGATACAAGATAATTTTAACACAACCTCTTGACATATGAAGTTCTCATCCAGCTTTATTAGATCTAAAGCTTAAATTCAACCATTACTTACAGAACTTTATAGGAATTTTCTGACCCAGTGACAGGACATTTATTTTTCTACATTTTTTACACAAAGTGGCAACACCATATTGATGTATTCAGATGTTTGCTAAGTTTTACATATCATGTAATTTCTAAGTATACAGCTATTTTAAAACACCATAAAAATTGTGGCCATTATTGTGTTGTAAATAAGTAATTTTCATATTCTTTAGAATCAGATCATTTAAATAATCAAAAGTCATTTTAGTTGGCTAAGATGCATTTATAGAAATGGGCAAGGGTATCCTTGGAGAAGCTCTTGAATAACAATTTTAAAACTCACTCTGTACTCATGAGACATGAAAATCAACTTCATTATTTTCATGATTCGGAACAGAAGAGAACAAAGCTAAATAGAGATTTTGCAAATAGGTACATGAGGATAGATGTATACATTAATCAAGCAAAGGATCTACTAACTACTCTTGTTAGCTTTTATGTTTCCCAAATATGCCAAGTATTTTCACACTTTTATGCCTTTATTTATTCTGTTTCTTCTAAATTTGATTTTCTCTATCCTTATTTGAATTGGTGAAACCTTACTAAATCATCCAAAGACCAACATAAACAATGCCCGCTCTGTGACATCTTTTCTAAAATTCTTTGATAGAGCAAATTGCTTCCACCTCTGTGCTTTCTTTCCACACAAATATTCTTGTTTACTCTACACATTTTATTGTAGTAAGCCACGTCTGTTATTTTCTACTTTGTTGTGAGCCATTTAAAGGCAAAGATAGAGCCTGGGATAGGGTGGGTATTTTAAAAATGTTGAATGAATGAAGGAAAGAGTAATTGAAAGAAAACATGAAGAGGCTGCCTTTATTCTGCCCTCCAGAGCTGAGACCTAAGTGGAATAGGTTCTTCTCTTGGTTGTCTGCTATAGTCAGGGTATGGTTTAGGGTGAAAGACTAGGAAGAACAACAGTGATAATTCATTTTTAAATCAATATAATTGATTTTAATTGATGTTTTGATTTTTGAACTTTGATTTTGAAATTGAGTATCAATTTCTTTAAAACTTACTAATTCCAGTAATGTATATATGAATAATTTTGTACAGACTTTCTACATACACAATTATATCATCTGTAAAAAATAACAGATTTGTTTATTCTTCTCCAGTCTTTATTTTTCTTCTTACCCCATTGCACAGTCTAGGACCACTGTGCAATGTTAAAATGAAGCAGTGAAAGTGAGCATCTTTGCCTTGTTTTTGATTTTAAAGAAAATTTCCCATATTTCACCCTTAAATCTGATGCATACTGTAGAATGTTTGTAGATATCCTTTATCAAATTAATAAATTTTCCTTTTATTTCCAGTTTGCCAAAAGTAGTCATCAAAATTGGGTGTTTAATTTATCAACTGATTTTTAAGCATCTATTGAAATGGTGTATTTCTTCATCATTCTCTCAATGTGGCAAATTATAATTACTTATTTTGGAATTTTTTTAAAAGGTTTTATTTATTCATTTGAGAGAAAGAGAGAGGGAGAGAGAGGAAGCCAGAGGGGAGAGGCAGAGGGAGAAGCAAACTCCCCGTTGAGAAAGGAGCCCGACTAAGGCTGGATCCTAGGACCCAGAGATCATGACCAGAGCAGAAGGAAGATGCTTAACCATCGGCCACCCAGCTGCTCCTTATTTTGGAAAGGTAATATATTCCTGGCTTAAATACAACTTTGTTACGGGTTTTTAAGATATTGATGAATGGCTAATATTTTGCTTAGTGTTTTGACTGCTATGCTTATGAGCAAGATTTTCCTATAATATTCCTTTCTTATAATGTTCTTTTAAGTTTGAGATATCATATTATACTGGTCTCAAGAAAACAGCTGTGAAGTGTTCTTCCATCCTCTCCTCCCTTTACTCTATAACAGTATAAATTATAGAATTCACTGATGAAGCTATATGGGTCTAGTATTTTCTCTTGGTAAATTTGGCATTCAAGATTCAATTTTGTTAATAATTATAGTGCCATTCAAATTTTCTTTCTGATTCGGTTTTTGCAAGGTTATATTTTTATAAGAAATTTTCCATTTCAAATAAAATTTCAACTTTTTTTACATAACAATTTTTCTTTAATACATTAAAATTTGTAGTAAGACCCCCCTTTTCATTTTGAGTACTGGTAAAGCATAACTTTTCTTTGTCAATCAGTCTTGCCAGAGTTCTATCAATTTTGTTAATTATTTCAAAGAACTAAACTTTGACTTTTAAAAATCATATA